GAGCGCGCGCCCCGGGCCGGGCCATAGGCCCCGGAGGGTGGGGGGCTGGACCGCAGAGACCCGAACAGGCCCCGGGGGCAGGCGCGGACAGGCGGACGGACCAGCTCTCTCCTTTGGACAGTCCCTAGCCCCACCTCGGCGTGGGCGCAGCACGAGCTGCTTTCCACTTGGCGAAAGCTGGGGTGTCGGGGCCCTGCGGAGAGGTCTTGGGAGGCTTAGGGCTGGCGAGTAGGGAGTTGGCTTTGGCAGCCTGGATGTGAGTGGGAAGGAGCTGGTACTGGCCTCTCCCTTCCTGGGCACTGGGGCACCCTTGGGGGCCCGGATTTGTCTTCTTTGTCTTCTGAGAGTAGCCCTCACTTCTCTCTCTCTGGGCTCAGCCTCTAACCCCTCCCCTCCAGGCTCCGCTGCCCAGACCCCACCAGCCTACCTCCCTCTCCCACTTCTGTCCACAGCTGTCTTGAAGCCCCAGGAGTCCTTGGCGCAACCACTAACCACCCCGAGCAGCTTGAAGTCAGAAGGTGGGTGCCCAGATGCTGTGGGAGGGTGGCCTACCGCAAGGAGACTAGTGGGAAGGATGTCTTTCCTGCAAAGCAGGCCTCAAACCCAGCTGGGGCCCTCAAAACCCCAGCCCAGCTCCAAGCTGGCCCACCTCACAGGTGGGTGAGAAGACCCCATGAATAAGTGTGTGTGGAAGTTCTTGTCAGGTGGGAAGTGCTGCACATATGGAAGGCATTAAACGAACCCTAAGCCTGGACTGGTGTAGTGCCTAAGGCATTTGACTGCTAACCAGAAGGCTGGTGGTTCAAACCCACCAACCACTCCTCCGAAGGAAGATTGGGCAATCTACTTCCGTAGGGATACCAACTTGGAAACCCAAGGAGGGGTCGCTATGAGTCGGATCCGACTCGACGGCAGTGAGTTGAGTTGAAGCTTGGACTATCTCTTCATCCAGAAGTGTCTTGCTTGGGACACTTTCTGAGGCTGTCCTAAGCAAGGGGTGGGGCAGGGATGTGGTCTATGTCCAGCATCTGTGTCCACAGGAAAGACGGTGCAGAAATATGAGACAAATGTCCAGTCTTGCTGGCTAGAGTATAAGAAGCGTATGGACCCTCTTGAAAAGGATTGGTGTGACTGGGCCATGATTAGCAGGTAGGGGCAGTGCTGGATGGTGTCTTGGGTCAGGGGTGGAACTGCTTTTTGTTCCGCTCCTTCAGATGGGCCTGAAGTGAATGTGGGACACACCTTTCTCTGGGCCCAACCCTTCCTTCATTGGACTTCTCTTCCATCCCAGGCCTTACAGCTTCCTTCGAGATTGTTTGGAGTACCATGCCGATGAGTTTGGCCTGGGCTTCCCCAATCCCTGGGCAGAGAGGGTCATCTTTAAGACTCATCAAATGCACTTTGCCAACTGCTCCCTGCTTCAGTCCACCTTCTGCGACCCCCCAGAGGATGTGCTCCTCGCCATGATCATAGCCCCCATCTGCCTAATCCCCTTCCTCGTCACGCTTGTGGTGTGGCGGAGTAAAGACAGTGAGGCCCAGGCCTAGGGTCCACAAGTGTCTCAGTGACCATCTTGTTCCTCTCCCCTGCTCCCACCACCCACCTCAGCCCTTCATGCCTTTTCCCCTTTCCCCTCTTTTCTACCCCTTCTGTTACTCACATCCCAACCACAAAAGTCCTGGAATTGGTGGAAATGGAAGCTGGGTGGGGTCATGGCACAAGTTCTGTAATGTAATCTTCAAAATAAACCTTTTTGATGTGTACACTGTTCCTCTGGTGGCGTAGTGCCTAAGGCATTTGACTGCTAACCAGAAGGCTGGCAGTTCAAACCCACCAGCCACTCCTTGGAAGGAAGATTGGGCAAAAGGATATGTATAACACTTCATTTAAGCCTTATCTCAGTGGTATATTCAATACTAAACTATTTCAAATACCTGTAATAGCTTAAGGAGCTTTGGTGGTGTAGTGCCTAAGGCATTTGACTGCTAACCAGAAGCTT